CACAGAAAATGCACAACACATGGACACAATAGTGAATATGGGCAATAATTTAAACTTGGTCGACACAGGTTGCTATTGCAATTAGTACCTGTATATATAATGTGCATGTATACACAGGTTATCTGCAATATTAAGCTGCTTTTTTGACGCTGGTATTCTGTGAGAGCGTGGTCCTTCCCCGGTCGAGCCGACCCATTCATGCTACAATCATAATATAGCTGCAGCGTGGGTCTACCACATATAAAACCTGACCTAACCTGCACAAAGCTTAAAAACTTTATTTAACTAAGTTTCTGTAGAAAGGGTTATTATAATATTAAAGAATTTATGGATAATTAAAACCCCTGCGAAAGGTGATCGCTACCAAGCTAGTTCTAATTTGTTTTGTGTTGTTAATTGTAACATACGTGATTGTAAGCTGTTTTTTTTAATAAGTTCCGCTGGGTTTTTGCCGGTTCTTTCCAGGACAGAATTTTTTATCCGAAGCAGTGGTGATCTGGAAAAAAGTGGCTATCAATAAGTATTATTTATAATCTTTATGGAATAAAAAAGTTTCTGTTTCTGTTTCAATATTCTTGAGCAGTCTTTCTTAAAATCAAACCAGCGCATCATGTTATTATTTGTCTTGAAGTTGATGAGAACATTTTGCTTAATTTGCACTTAACTTTGAGATTAGCATAACTGTTTTATTAATATTTTTTTAATTATTTAACTGCTAAATTGAATAATGAGAGCTTTAGGAAGAGAGGGTTCCCCTACACAATACCAAGCTCTGGGTTTCATTAGAGGCAGCAAGGATAAACTCAAACAGAAGATGGGCAGCATCACGCAACAGCGTTCCCAATAACATTAGTTGTTAAGGTGAATTGTGCGCCAAATGCAGATTTTTCACGCTTTAACAGTGCGACTGGCGACTGTTTGGTCGGCCCGCGCGCTTTTTAATCGCACAATATTTATTTGATATTTCTTTTTAAAATTATATATAATCATTCGAATTTAATTGAAATTGATTTCATTACATTCGAATGAAACAGCTTTTTCACTTAGTGGACGTACCTAATATTGTAGATTATGGGGAAACTTTGCGATCGATTGCGTTTTTGCCAACATAATTCACTAAGAAAAATCTTTATATTACGATTCAATTTTAATGATAAAAAATTGCTTTTTTAAAGCGTGCAAAATCTGCTTTAGGCGATCACGTCACCTTACGCACCTGCCAAGCCTGGAAACTGGCAGATATGCCCTTATGACGCAATCTATGGGGGATGTTGAGCAGTGGACTTTTGATAAGATTAACTGACAGTGATAGTCACATTATTCGTCATCATTATTTAATAACAGTAAAGAGGAATCAATAAATAAAACAACACATATGATATGGTAACACCGTATTTAGTGCATTTTATTTATTATGACAAAATTCGGTATCCCTCTTAACACCGATTTCTTGTATTCCTTATAAAGTTTCGTAATATATTTGAAACTGTTTAAGTACAACATTATATTGTTAAGCACTACCGAAAAAGATGTTCATAATTAAAATCAGTGTTACGAAGAATATTATAAAGTATATAATGGTCTATAATATAGCCCATTATTTTAGTTAACATCTGTATAACAACCAATTTTAGTCGAAATATTTTATATTTTATATTACTACTTTTATAAATTGTGTATATATCACATGTGAAAATTTATTTCTGATTATCATTCATTCATGGCCTATTAGCACTCATGTCTTATGTATTTATAAGTAAATGCGATCAGTGAATATCTATGGTTCTATTACTTCTGAACACTGTATTTTTTTCAAAATCAAATATAAGCGCAAATCGACCAGCAAAGTAGTCGATTTGTGCTACATTTACGCTACATCAACGCTAGAATGCGTAATCGACCATCACAACGAGTGTACACCGAGCGGCGAGGATGTGCCGGGTTAATAAGCAATGACCTTGAAGTATATTTTATTTTTTAATAAAAGTTAACCCTACACTAGGATTTGCTCCTGTATAGTAGAGGCTGTTTACATACAGAACTTTCACAAGAACAAGCAACCAGACCTGGGACAATTAGGCCATACAAATACTTGTTCCGTATGGGATTCCAACCCGCAGCGCCACAATTCAATGCTAAGCCATTGTTCTACACATTTGTTAAATTTTTAAAAATTAGTTCCTAAGGCGTCACAAAACAAGTTGTTACAGCTGTTTTAATTATTACCTTCTTTTTAATTTTACCAAATTTTAAGTGTACGGCACATTTATTTCTCCTAAATTTAGTGTTGAATAAATAATGACATGATAAGAGAAAACTTTCGTAAAACATGTATTGTCTTTTTTATTATACCAAGCCTTAAAACTAACATTATACCTAATCTAACTACTAATATTCAATATTTTAGTTTTGTTTGCGTAATTTCCAGACTGATTGGAACTAATACAAGATACTCTTCCGTAACAAATTTCAATAATTCTCCATAATATCAATTACTAAAGATAAAATTAATTCTTAAAATACATAAATACAAAATACAAGATATGAGATACAATAAAAAATTACTTTTATAGCCCTATATGCATTCTACAGCTAGGCGCAGGCTACACTTTGATTATTGCAAAGTGATAGAATTTTTAAAATAATTATAGGAATATTTATAATAATTAAAGAAATATATAACTAATAATTTTAAAATAATTATAGTAATATTTACTTATCAAAACAACCAACAAAATTATCTTTTTTAATAAAACATATAATAACCACAAGGTAAACATTTTATTATTTTCTAATATTATTTAATAACGCTACCTATAATTCAGTCACATTCATTTTAGATAAGCATTTACGCACTTATATAATGCGAAATGGAACACTTCACTTAATGTATTTATTGTTAAGAATAATTAAAATACAGTGATTACGAGTACATTTGAAGAAACAATTTCCTATAATTATATTTATTTCAGTGGTGACGTAGCTTAGAAGCCTGTATAGAATATCAAAATATAAGAAAACAATGGCGAATATCCATATATTTACCTATTTAACCTACAACAACAAATAATATCTCTACTAATATAATCGATTTGTATTTTTAATATGTAAATCCATTTCCATAAAATATTTATGAATGAAAAGAAACTCATTTTACCGTTCTAAAACTAATTTATAATTGATTACCCTCAAATATCTGAAAATACTACCCTCCACATTATGTAACTAACACTTGCGTCCCTTTTATATTCCTTTGTAACAGGATTTGTATCTCTACCCATTGGTATAAAATGACTACTATTATTCATTTATGTCACATAAAGTATTATAAGGCTTCTTTATAATAAACTCCTACGTTGATCTGGAAAAAAGGAAAACTGCATTTTATTAAAACAATTTATGATATACATTTTACTGTTGCTGTGTATGAAAACGCGTTCGTCGCCCATAAAATTTAATTCCATGCCAGAATTTAATTCAATGACATTAAAATTATAAGCTCAAAGTTAGGCTGAGGTGCCAACACATATGACAGGCATTGAAATTACAGTAAAATCTCTTAATATGAGAAGGCCTACGTTCAGTAGTGAATATTATAAGAATCTTGTTTCAAGAGTTGTAACTGTTGTAAAAATGGATGCAGCATATTGTATTCCATTTGAAGCCCGAAGTCGTTTATTAAGCCAACTAGCTATAAATGTTGTTCTTCTTAGACTGTGTTGGCCGAGCGAAGGCAAGCCTCAACGTAAAGACAACCCTTTTGCCTAGCCTCGCCATTGCTCTTTGTCGCTCGCTTACATAACTCAGTGCAAGCGAGCTCCAACTTGTATACGGTTCATTTGGTGTTATGCCACCACTCGAGATCGCTTGCCACAACATGTCTTACTTCGAAATAGTATCGGTTTTCCTGCACAAATCAAAGGAGCTCGCCTGCACTCGGCAAATCGTATCCACATATTAATCGGTCATGTCAGTATGTTTACTCTTTCATACTAGGCCGACATGTAGACTGTAGTGCTCGCCTTGTATCAATTGGCCTACGTTCTCGTCGGTTGTGGTTTAGGCGGGCGACATTTTTTCGCTGCGGCACGGCAAGATGTTGCTACTTCTTATGTCACGTGAACACACTGAAACTACTTAAGCTACTTTTCTTGAGGATCTGAAACTAATACAAGCAACCAGAAATTTTAAAAATAAAACCTAATGTGGTTTGAACTAGTTCCGCCTACCGCAGTACTCGTGATATACAATATGGGCCTAAGGTTTGAGTCAACGGCTGGTAAATATAAATAAAATATGTGTTAACTATGCTCCCATATATACTGGATCATTTGGAAATACTGCTATGTATATTATACCTCATCAGTTATGCAATTAATAGTAAGATTTTATTATAGAAAGCGCAATAGAATCAGAGTGACTTTCAGTCGATTCTGCAATTAAATATGTATATTAATATTTAACATCCATTATGTTAAAATATTTATACTAGGAGTTATTAAATTAATATAAGTTATTTATTATTATAATTTTTTTTATAATGGAGATACGGGGGCCGTTGGTGCTATCTCGCACACGACGCATCAAGGAGTTAATGGAACGCGCATATATTTGCCTTTTTTGTAGAGCATTATGAGGCATTATGCTTCGGCCATACAACAACGGCAATATCAATAAAAATCCCTGGCCTAAAACCAAATTAAGCCCCATCCAGTAAGTGTGTGAGTTGGCTGAGTTGCTGATCAAGCAAGCCATCCAGCACCTTTGTAACTACAACAGTTTTAAATTTCGTCCGATAATTGAACCCATCTTAGGCATCAGTCGTATGATTCATGATTGTTACTATGGTTTTTATAAATATGACATACTAATATCAAAGTAATGCACTATGCAGATGTGAAAAAAGACCAAAAAAGTCCAAAAATTGGTTGACATAAAAACTCACGCATTTTTACGCAGTTGCTTGCAAATTAAGAGTTACTTACTAATCACTGCATACTCTACACCACGTGTATAGGACAACCTTCTTTGGTTTTGTAATTGTCAATTGGAGGCGATATAACGACATATGTGTCCCTACTAGTGGTAGGTTGTTTTTCAATATCGTCTCCAGCGAACAGTGGTGGTGGAGGAATGACGTCATCTTCCACTTCATCCTCAATAGCTTCCTGCTTCTTACTCCGTCCTGGCATGTAGTTCATGATGCATGTCACCGCGATTAAGAACAAGAAAAATATGAACACTACGTCGAACATTAGTAGGAAGTTTAGCATTACTAGTTGCATCACGTCCGCTCAACTCTGGTCACATTCTGTGCTTTTATTACTGATTACGCTTTTGCTGGCTACACGTACATATATTAGGCCTGTGATCATTTAAATTCATTGTCTTCTTATAAGGCATAAGCGGTGGCTGGTTTTATAGCCTTAGTTCTTCTTTAATCTGCAACAATTAAAGATGGTATAACTTGTACTACTTCTTTCTAGTAATACCTATAGTAGATAGCAAAGCGAACACGTAATTTTTAATAAAAAAAGAAACAATACAAAACGTAACTGTATTATTCGTATCGATACTGTACTATAATATTAAGTGTGTGAAAGTTTGATGTTTAGAGTTTTGTAATTAAATCATGCATAAACTGCTAAACGGATTTGTATAAAATTTGACACTCGGATAGAAAGTGTCCCGTATTAGCTATTGGAATACATTTTATTGCGTGAAAATAAAAGTGAAAAAATATTGACACGAAGCCGTTTCAGTAGAAGTTATTTAATAAATAAAATTAAATGTTCTGTAGAATGCGGTTCAAGCGACCATTATGTATATCTGTTTTGCTAGTGTCGTATTACTATTATAATCATTAAAAAGTTGCCTATCACACTCCAGAAATAAAAGCGGATTAGCTGATGACCTAACTCTTCAAAATCCGTCAAGCCGTTACCTTTATCAAAGAGTGGAGCATACATGTATCGACACATAAATACAAGTAAATGTTTCTTTATGTAGTCAAGCAAAATATACGCTAATTTACGACACGCGTATAGAATTTTATTAACTTAAAATATTTTTCCTTTTTAATATTGTAGATAAAAAAATAAAAGTGTGATTTATAAAAAATATGTGCCACTAATAACTTAATATTATGTTGTTTAGTTTCATTTATATTAGAACATTTGGATTTAAATTGAAAATAAAATAGATTAATAGTACCTTCACTAAACTTTTGAAATGAAAACATTATTTTGCTGAAATATTGTTCGCGTAAACAAGTCTTACCATATAATTTTCATTTGTCTTACTAAGGCCCTTTCATTTTAGCGTATAAGAGTATTTATTGGAAATGTAATTTTAATGTCTCTTTACGAACATAATTTCATTTACTTACTATTTAACACTGATTACATTTGACGTTATTTAGCTTTAAATTATGAAAATTATGATCATTTAAAACATTACTCTAAACTTCTTTAGTATTATTTCAATCGCAATATTTTAATATTATTTCTAAAATATAAAGTTGCTTCAATATTCTTAGTGTATTCTTTTTCTACAGATTTATAACATTTAACTGTAATGTTTTGTAAAGTCAATGAATTAGTTGTTGTATTTAAAGTTATTACTTCTTAAAATTGTAAATCCTTTTATATAAGCTGACTGAACTGAGCCATCGCGTTAGTTTTAAAGCTTTGTAAACGCCATCTTGCAAAATTTATCGTCAAAAATAATTTGAGCAATGCTCGACGCTGAAAATCGCCCTGGTAATATCCGTCGTCGGCTCGTTTCACTAAAACACCCGACTTAAAACTCAAACAACTTTCGTCTACTTTATCAAGTTTACGAATGGCGTTTCATCATGCTCGATTTATACAGTTGTAATAAAGTTTCGTTTGTTTTTTTTAAGGGAAAAAACGTGGTCTTATAAAAAATACAGTGCTAAAGGCACAGTGTAGAATTTTTATTTCATTATTTATATTTTATAGTTTTATTATTATTTTTGGTAGTATAGTTGGAGGATACGAAATTTTAATACATTTTATTTCAATTCAGATGCTGAAACCAAATCATAGATTTTTGCTAGTGACCATTATCAGCTTTAGTAGATTAGGATCATCAACCCGAATTCATAGCATAGTTTAACATATATTATATAATAATATAACACAACACAAAAGGCTTAATTCCAGCGGTGATGAAGATTATCTTCATGTTGAATGTTTAACTTCAGAATTGAATAAAAGTTTCGCTTATGTGTCACAATAATACGATTTGTGTCCGAAACCTAGTTGAAGAAGAATACTTTAAGAGGCTTTAAAATCTACCTCTGTTTTAACTAAGGCCTTGACAATAATACGCCAAACGACAAATTTCTAGAAAAAATTGTCCAAATTAAAAATTTTGGTCCATAGATAATAGAAACGCTCTCTCAATTGAAAAAAATAGCTCTCGAAACTATCCCATTTCGGGTCCGTGGATTTCATGGTGATTTTATAGTCTGGTATTAGTAATCTCTGAGTATACATGCTTAACTACACATTAATACACGACTACAATAAAAAATATGCAGTTAATAATCAAAAATTAAGCCGCTGCAAAAAATCGCGAAAATAGTTGAAGACGTAAGTGGATGAAGGTGATATGTCGCATTTTCATGTTTTGGTGTTTTATTGCATAAATGAAGGTGATATGTCGATATAAAATGATTTTAGACCCTAAAACTATCGATTTTGGACGCATTTTAAAAATAGAAAGTTGATAAAGGTGTTATGTTAAGTTTAGTTTGAAAATGGTACTGAATGAAAGAGGTATGAGCCCACATCACCACCTTCTTGATAAATAAAATAAAAGTTTTGTTTTTTTTTTGTCGTGGAAGAAAGTGATATGTGCGAACATAACACCTTCTTCCACTCAGCGAACGATAGTCGAATGACACGACGTCACTTCTCCATGAATGAAGGTGTTATGTGACATACATAACACCTTCATTCATTCACGTCAGTCAATTGTTTTGATTTTCGTTCTGTCAATAAAATTGTCACATTCTCGCGGGCTTTCTAACAGAGTGCGTATTCTAGCGTATGTTGTGTACAAAATATTATTTAATTTTATAATAGTGAATTTACGTTGGCAAAGTGAAAAAGCAATGGCAGGAGGCAAAGCAAGGGCAAAATTATTACTGGAAGCTGCTGTCGGTCACCCTATAATAGAAAAAACTCGGAACAATGATGTTTATAACGATTATAACCTCAAAACTGTTCAAAGTAAGTGTTTAATAATATTTTACTTCTTTACTATTATAATTTAGATTTTCTTGCTAAACTAGGAATGGTTATAATGATCTACGAATAGTTATTGCACTAAAATGTTTGATTTTTACTGTTTATATAAAGTGAAGACGCTAACCGTTAAAATATAGTTATTAGTTTTTGAGTTTTTGGGAATATTTTTCTTTCACAAGAAACTTATTTTATTTTGCAATTTTAGTTGAAAACACTTTGGTGTTAGAATAATCGGAGAAACGCTGAAGGGCAAAGAGGAAAGTCATATTATTCTCATGATTTGAAACAAATTTTCTTACTTTCGTGTTAGCATTTCTTGTTTGTTTACCGCTTTCTTCCTTAAGGCTTTTATTCTCTCTTGCAGGAAAGCTATGGCCTGCGTCACATCTTCAAGATCTACGGTTATGAAAATGGCGAACCTTCAACCAGCAGCCAAAACACACGTTTTGAAGTTTGTTCTATGAACACGCCTTTCCCTATAGATAATACAGATTCAGATATTATTGAGGATTCCCTAGATGAACCTAAACATTCTACTGATAATAAAAAAGTGTATAACATCTTAAAGAATGTGTCCTCTGGCCAAAATTACAAAGACTTTTCTTCGGGTAGTGATAATGTTTTCGTTCCGGAAAGCCCTTTAAGCTCTAGCTCTAGCAGTATAAGAGAACAATCCGACAGAACAAGGCTAGAGGACCATATCCCTACTAGGAACCAACGCAAAAGTGAAGATTTGGAAGAAAATAATAAGTCAAGAAAACGTAAGATATTCCCACCCAAAGAAAATAAGTCAAAGAAACGCTCCCGAAATGAACTGTCATGGAAGAAAAAGTCTGCAGCTGTAGCTAGAGCAAAGGGAGAAGAATATATGTCTTATAAAGGAGTGAAAGTTCCGAAGAAAACCATCCAGGAAGGGATTTTATGCCACGAGAAGTGCAGACTTAAATGCTCTAGTAAGTTCTCACTGGAAGATAGGCAATCTATTTTAAACAGCTATTATTCATTAGATTCTAATAGTAAAAATGCCTTATTGTTCAGCAGCATTATAAGTAAACCTGTAGCAAGACAATGCAATAACGCTAGAAATCATAAATCTGCTTCTTACAAGTATTACGTAAAAAACAAGGAAGCATTCAAAAAATATGCAAGTTAGGATTGTGTAGAATATACCAAATAGGTCGCAAAAAATTGATCTCATTATAAAGGATATTAAAAATGGACTTTCCGTTCCCAAACCAGATCGGAGAGGACGACATTAAAGTCGTCCACACAAAATGGACGATGACGTTGTCCAATGCATTAAGGCACATATTGCGAGCTTTCCAGCGAAACAGTCTCATTACTCAAGAAATAAAAATATATACAAACTCTATCTGTCACCGCTGCTCAATGTTACCAAAATGCATGGTTTGTATTTGGAAATGTGTCAAAATGAGGACTTGACTGACAAATATCGCATTACGAAAAGCTCGTACAATAAAATTTTTGTCACAGAATTTAATTTGTCTTTTGGTTACCCAAGGAGTGACACGTGTCCTACTTGCGATGCTGGAGACTCAACTGAAGAACATAAGTTAAATTATCATGCAGCTGTTGAAGCTATGCAAATTGATAGGCAAAAACCAAACCGGAACCGAGATATTGTGTACATTACCATGGATTTACAACAAACAATGCCGTTACCGAAACTAACAACTTCAAAAGCGTTCTACTTACGCCAATTATGGTTTTACAATCTGGGTATTCACGTTAATGATGGAGCTAAAGAGAAAGCTGTTTGTTGTACATGGACTGAAGATGTAGCGGATCTCGGAAGTGTTGAAGTTGGAAGCGCACTTTTAAGATTTTTGGAGGTAGATCCAAGTTGTCAAAACAAAGATCATTTATTGATCTGGTCGGATTCATGTGCCGGACAGAACAAAAACTTTAACATGATTGCACTGTATCAATACCTTATATTAAAAGGATATTTTGAAGTAATAGACCACAAGTTCCCTGAGGTTGGCCATTCTTATTTAGATTCGGATCGTGATTTTGGTAGGATAGAAAAAGTCCTTAGGAAACACGATACAGTTTATGTTCCTGAACAATACAGGAATATTATATGCAAAGCTTCTTGAAATAATACAGTCATTGACATGAGCGCACATTTCAGAAAAATTGGTGAGTTACAGGAAAAACTTAATTTGATTAACAGAAAAAAAGATGTAAACAATGACAAAGTAAGTTTCAGAGATGGTATTAATTGGATACGCATATATGAATATGGTTCCTACCTATATAAAGAAATATACGATGAAATGACACCTTTCAAAAAGGTGGACATTTTGAAAAAGAAGATCTCAGTTACGCAATTCTGTGGAGATTTTGCGTACGTACGGAAAATGTGGTACCGTATCAGTGGAAAAAAATAAAAACTCCGAGAACAACTTAAGTACGTAAAGCCGGAATATCGATACTTCTATGAGTCGATTTTATTTGAAAAATAGGATTATTTTGATCTCTGTTTTATTTTATTGTCAAGACTGATCTCTGTTTTAATAGTTTACGTTTTTATTGATAGTATTTTAAGGAACCTTTAAATAATGTTTGCCTTTTTGTAATACTTTAAGTACATAATGTTACTTAACACCTAATTTTAAAGTTTTGTTGAACTGAAATGCCAAAATGTTTTAAAAATGTTAGTGAAAGAAAGAGTTATGTTCAGTTTTTTTCGAAATTATATACCAAAAAGTATTAAAAGTGTTTAATTGCTCACATACCCAAATTTTTTAAGTTTGTTTACCCAACTTTGCACTATAGTTTAAATCAAAAACTAATTTTCAACAACTTATCTCAAAAACCAAAACTGAAACTTCAATCTTGATTTACTCAAAATTAGTAAAATGCGAGTTATCACCTTCATCCACTTATGTCTTCAGTTATAAAGTTGCATTGTAAATATACTAAGAAAAAACTATTTAATGAGTTTTATTTGTTTTCTTCTGTTTTCAAATGGAACAGAGGAAAGATTGATGTGCAGGTTTTAGAATGTTGTCTGCGATTCATTATATTAAAAAAATTAATTACAAAATTTTTAGAATATCAATTTTCAATTATTATAGTAGTAGTTGTATCGTTTTTCTATTATTATTAAATGGTCTATTTAGTTAATAATTTTTAATAATATCAAATCGAAGAATTTAACCTCACTATATATAATTTTTTTTAATTACTCATATTTTTATAAATATTAAATTAGTAGTAAAAATAAAAATGAGCAGACCGAGTACGATCCCCGACGGCATCAATGAAATTCCAATTTTAATATAGTCTTAGTAATAAAAAAAATATTTAAATGCATTGTGGCAGTATAGTTGTCTCTTCCTTGATCTAAAAAACCAAACTCAGAAAACATATGAGGCCTATTCTCAGTACCTGGACGTCTGTATTCTGTAACAATTATTTTAATAACCTTACAATCAACTTGAAACACATAAGCTATTATGTCACACCTGAGAAATAAGATAAACAGTTTGTAATAATGCTGGCTGTCTAACTCTTATACTATTGTGTTCCGCTTGCTTGGCGGCATGACTAGGGACAAAGGTAATACCAACCCAGGCGGAAACTTTGACAGAACAAGAGAGAACTCTAATATTTGGAACTATAGTCAACAAAATCTAAGAAATACATTTTTGACAGCTGTCAGACTTATTGCACCAAGCATGCCAAACAAAAAAATAGGAACCTACAATATTCGATTCTTAAAAAACTCGATATCGATTATTAAGAGTTGGTAAACATTTACAGTTTGGTTTGAATAATACCAGAATAAATAGAAAACGGATAATTTAATACACAAGATTTATCAGTTTCTTCGAATTTGTTGTTACTGCTTATTTCTAGAGATACAGTTATAAAAATTTAAGATAGAAACTAGATTGAAACTAGATTAAAAATGAATTTACTGTTAGTTTTCTACCCTCTAATGCGTAAAAAAGGAGTAAATAAATCATATAACAACAATTCATCCAATAAATCGTAGTTTTTCCTCTTAAACGTAAATAGTTTCCTCCTGAGAGATTCCAGTAACCATGACAGCGTGTTATACTTAGCCCACCGATTCAATGAAGATGGGTTTCTCACTGTCTATAACTTTTTCAACAAAACTTTAAAAATAGATTATTTAAAAATACTTACGAGAATAGACCACATTATTTGGATAGACTTTTAAAATATGAGAAATTTATTAAATTTTTTATATTTTTAATTAAATAACATTATCTCATAAGGTTTTGCTAATGACTAGTATATAATAAAATTCCAAAATCTCTTTAAGTAGTCCTGCCGGAGTCATATTTTCAATTGCCGTATTTAGTAAGCAAAATTGCCGTTTTTGTGGAATAGGTAATCTAATTACCGTAGCATGAAAAAAAAACATGAGGTTTTTAACTCTGTAGATATCTTTTTATGCCACTTAGCTGCAATTATAATGGCTCTCTATACCCTTAAGACAGTATCACAGTACGTTTGTAGCTTATTTTATTGTATTGTGTATTGTTTTGTTAAAAGGTAAGAGAGTAGTAATTATCCAGATGAATCCCTAGGCAAAAAGGAATCCGTAGGAAAAAAGAATCCCTAGGCAATAAAGGAGTCGTAGGCAAAAGATGTTCCATAGGCAAAAACGGATCCCTAGACAAAAAAGGATCCCTAGGCAAAAAATGTTCCCTAGGCAAAAAAGGATCCCTAGGAAAAAAGGATCCCTAGGCAAAAAAGGATTCCTAGGCAAAAAAGGATCCCTAGGCAAAAAAGAATCCCTAGGCAAAAAAGGATCCCTGGGCAAAAAAAGGATCCCTAGGCAAAAAAGGATCCCTAGGCAAAAAAGGATCCCTAGGCAAAAAAGGATCCCTAGAAAAATAAGGATCCTTAGGCAAAAAAGGTTCCCTAGACAAAAAAGGATTCCTAGGCAAAAAAGGATCCCTGAGCAAAAAAGGATCCCTGAGCAAAAAAGGATCCCTAGGCAAAAAAAGGTTCCCTAGGCAAAAAAGGAGTCCTACCATCTAGTAAAACTTCCTGAATAGACCAATTTTAAATTGGACATTTGCCCTATCAATGTATAAAACTCTACCATTAAAGGCACGTCAAAAATTGCCTTAGATTCTCTCATATACTCCAACGGATAAGATAAGTTTTAGCCAAATCAATCAGGAGCATAGCCGCACAGTTACAAAACTTCAATACCATGCGACCTACTTTAATTCCTATTTTAACTCTTATCTTATTGCAATTGCATGCATGTGGTGTTTACCTTAAACGATTGTTACACTTAGCTACGTAAATTAGTTCTTAAACCATTTTGTTAAATACAGTGTAATCAAACACTGGTAAACCTTAATAAAAAAAGGCCTAGATACGAGGGCGGCACTGAAAATTTCGGGAATCAAGGAAGTGACACAACAATACTATTTAAAAATATATTTATTGCTTTTCGAAGTATTCTCTGCGAAATTTGACACATTTTTCCATACGATGGAACCAATCATTGAAGCAACCATTCCATTCGGAAGTTGGGGTCTCCAAAATGGCCGTTTTGTAGGCGTCCACAGCTTCTTCAGGTGATGAAAATCTCTGTCCACGCAATTTATTCTCTATTTTAGGGAAAGTATAGAAATCATTAGGGCTTAGGTTGGGGCTGTACGACGGATGGTCTAATAATTCTATGTTTTCTTGCTCTAAAAACTCTTTTGTTCTGTGTGTGGTGTGAGAACTAGCATTGTCGTGATGGGGGATGATGCGGCGGTTGCAGTTCTCTTTACGGAGTTCAGAAACGACCTGTGGCAAAAAAATGCTAGCATACCATTCTGCATTAACCGTTAATTGTCCCTCAAGAGGAATAGTCGTAACATGGCCGGTTTTGGAGACAAACGTGGCCACCATTTTTTTTGCAACACTCCGTGAACGAACAATTTTTGTTGGCTTTAACTCATTTTCGAACACCCAAACTCGTGACAAGTTTTTTTGTTTCGGATTCGTACGCATATATCCAGGATTCATCACCTGATACGATGTTGTATACAGCATTTGAGGATCCTGCGTGGAATCTTTCGAGAGTTCTGACGCACCAAGTAACACGAGCCGTTTTTTGCTCTTCACAGAGCGAATGCGGTATCC